GGTTACAGTGGGTGAATCTACACATGCAATTAATGCGAAGCAATTAGCTTTGGAGTTCATTGTTCTCGGGTGTACTGTTTGAACGTGAGCCTGGGAGCAATAAACTGCAGAGCAATAAACTACAGAGTTTATTGCCATTTGCACATGTGCCTGGGATCACAGCATGTTGAGCTGGGTCAGAGACGCCCCAGATGGCAGGGCCCCCCCAGGGGTCAGCCTGCCAGCCTGGGACTGCTTCTCTCAGCTGAATATGCTGTGCTGGGACTGGCTGGTGAATGAGGGTTAGGCAACAAGCAACACCCAGTGCAGGGCTAGTCAACAAGCAGCCCCCACACTGAAGCAGCTTTGTGCCCAAACCAGCCAGGGCAGTGTCTACACGTGTGCAGCTGGGCAGTTTTTTACTCCACAGCAGGATAGTGCCTGTACTTACAAGTACTATCCTGCTGCAGAGTAAATTAGTTTAGTGTAGCCTAATAGGGATGCACATGTTGATGCCAAGACATTTACTGTGCAGCTAATTAGTCTACAGCATGGCCAATGTCTCATGTAGATGTGCCCATTATTGCTAATAATAAGGTCTGTTATCTTTTTCTTATCTCTAATAAGGCCCCAGGCAGACATTACAATTAAAATGCAATTAACCAGTAAAACATCTCTTAAAGTGTAAACTGGCCACATATTCAGCAGATTAATGGCACAATAAAATCACAAACCAGTTACAAAACTATTACAAAAGGTACACACCTTATATTGAATGTGGGGCACGGACTGTCCTGATGCTCAAACCCCTGAGCAATCCTAATCAGCTGATCCTGTGCAGAAATGGGACTGCCCCAGGGAGAATCAGCTGATCAAGATGGCCCCAGGGATAGAACCCCATGGCAGTCCGTATCTTGCGAACAGCAGCCTGTCATCAGCTAGCTCCAGGGACCATGCAGGAACTTGAGGTACCCTTATGGGTCCCCAGAGCCAGCCAACGATCAGCTGATTGTTGGGCACTTCAGTTTCTGGTGCATGAGGAGCCCAAGATCATGATTCCAGCCCCCTTCCCCACCACTCTGGGAATATGGCATGATTAGGATCTGATCGCCAATCATACAACTGCACTTCAAAATGGGACACAGTAAAGGGGAGGTCAGAGCTGTGTATTATGCCCTTGGCATCAAGGCATAAAATGAGCAGCCTACATCCTACAGACAATTATTCATTTACAACAAAGGCATAGCAGATGAGTCAGGCAGATGAACTGCCCTGGATGGGTGGGTGGGCTGGCATTGTGACTGGCCCTGGGATGGCCCCCTGCCACAATCTCCCTGTGGCTGTCATGCTGTCCACATTCTGTCCTGTCAGCATATTCCTTTGTTTCACAAACCCATCACATTCACACATCCTAATTTGGTCTGTTCCCACAAAACTGAAAATCCCAAGGCATTGCAGTTGGGCACTGTGACCTTGCCAATGCGGCAGAGTCCCTTATCTCTGTTATGGTAAACTGTTCATGTTATGAAACAGTGTGGTATATATCTTCAATTTCTCAGCCTGTGCATCTGCTTGCTGTTTGCCGGTGTCAGACACAGTGGGCCTTGAAGGAGACTTTTCCACAAACCGGCTTTTAGAACTCAATTGACGCTTGCCATTGCCCTGTGTGGAAGGGGTGAACTTTGATGCTCAGTGTAAGCAACAGCCTGCCCCTGTCTATGGGCCAGCTGCCCACCTCACTGTCTTGCCCCGCCTTGATAATACATGATTACGGCATTAATTAGGTGGGAGGCTGCCCATTTTGTACCCTGATACTTAGGGGGTTAGCTGCAGCTGTATTCCACCCCTATGCTGCAGCCCAAGCCTCGCAGATGGCATCTCAGGTAGCTAACTCAGCTGTCCCCCTTGCCCATTATCTGTCATCCCTTCCCTAGGACCTTCAGCTCCCCCTTAGTCCCTGGCCCCATCTCAGGCCAGTTGGGACCCTGAGCTTCTTTGCTGTCTGTGGACGTCCCTCATGGTGGGCCTGTGGCCCTTTTGACCCCTCTCTGGGTCCCGGGCCCAGCACTGATCAGTTGGGTCCCTTGGGTCAGGTCTACTCTGCATGCCTGCTTTCAGGGTTTGGGGTTCCCCCACTCCCAGTTCAGGTGCTTTGTAAAGCATGCCTGGCCCTGCTGGGTCACTCCCCTAGCCAGCTCAGGCACTTCCAAAAACTTACCTGGCTCTCCCTGTTTTATATAATCCACCCAAAGGTTGCGGCAGAGGTTAAGGTGCCTCAACCCGCCTTACACCAGGGAGGTGATCACTCCTGGCATTAACATAGGGACTGCCACACCACCAGCAGCCCTACCAGGCCTTCCTGTCTGGCAGGGTGCAGTTTTAGGTCATGCCCAGGACGAATGAAGCCTCCAAGCCATTCCCATAGCTTCACCCTTACCTCCAGGGTGTTTCTGGCAGAGCTCAGCAGAGAGGTGTTTCTCCCCTCTGCTGGCTAATCATGAACCACTCCCAGGTCAGGGAGCTGGGCCCTAAAATGCCCACCCATATCAAGCACCTGCCCCTCCCTGGCCCAGTCCTCAAAGTTGCAGCACCACCAGTGCCCTGCCACACCCTGGACCATTGTTCTAATGCAATATCTACCTTAGCCAATTCCCAAAAGCAAATCTCTAAATACAATTTTCTATCCATTAGGGCCTAAGAGTTAATTTTTCAGAAGGCATAAGAGATCAAACTGACCAACTCAATTGGTTGCTTGATTAAAATTATAATCAAATAATAAGACATGGAGCCATACATTATTGATGTACGTAGGAAGGGCAAGGTCAACATATGTTAAGTACAACCTATATTTATACCATGCCTGATTACAATGCAGTAAAATTTCTTTTTAATTACCTCAGATGTAGGTATTCTTCTCTTTTCTTCCACTTCCAAAATTAGTAGAATACAGAAACATCTATTCACTTGTCTTTTATCTTTCTAGTTCAATAAAAGGGACAATTCATTAGAAAAACATAAATTCTGTCTTTCTGGTATAAGTCACAATTACTAGAGAAAGAGAGGTGGAAGTCAGGGTAGATTTGCACCTTATAGAACAACTGCACCAGAAACACATGACATAAGCTTTCATGAGCCTGAACTAACTTCACCAGATGCTTTGGAAGGACATGCACAGAACAGTGTATCAAATGGAGGAAGTGATTTGAATACAAAACACAGGGTATTGGTGAGGCCAATTTGAATACTAGTAAATTTCCATGGTAAACCCTTTTGTGAACACCAATACAGTTCATATTCATGTAATTTAACACAAGAACAGGAAAGGCTTTTATGCTTATAGAGACATGAAGGATTAAAATGAATTCTTAGGGATTATCATTAGGCCACACTTGTATTTTTCATAAAGTAACTGAATTTAGGCTAACTGTTTTCTGAACATATGACACTACGGCAGGGTTGTCAAAGATGTGGTTGGCGGACTGAATCTAGCTCATGGATCCATGTCACCCAGCTCATGGGGATCCTGAGGGTGCCAGGCATTTGGGAGCAGGACTGTTGGGGGCAGGGCCTGCCACCAGATTCCAGGTTACAGAGTCCTGTTGGTGATATATTTTGGAGGTGATAGGGTTAGTGGGGATTGTATTAATTCCTGTGGCTCCCTGAGACAGCATAGGTTAATGCTGCTACTGCTTGCCCCACCACCAGAGGTCTGGGTGGATCTGCCCTATGAGGAACTCTATGGTTTAGATCCATCTCATGGGGCCCAGCCAAGTTTGACTGCCCTGTACTACAGCTTTAACTCCAGATGAGCAGCTTATTGGTCTATGTTTTGGAGCAGAAATATATAGATTTCTTGGAACTATAGCTGTAATTTCTGGCAGAATTGACCCATTTCCTCATTCTTCCAAGGCTGAGAAGATTAATTGACAGCAATGGCATTACTGTGTGGGTCCTTTTTCTGTAATATGAATATAACAAAGTACAGTATTAATAGAGTGCCTTTTATATATGAGTTTGTAAATTAAAAAAAAAAAAGTATGTATATACTGTACATATGCCTTCCACAGTATATGTATGGCTTCACTGTCCAGTGAAGAACCATAGAAAATAAAACAATTAATGATGTGGACATTGGAGTCAGAAGTGGACTGGCCAAGTTCGCTGATGACACCAAACTTTGGGGCAAAGCATCCACGCCAGAAGACAGGCAGGTGATCCAGGCTGACCTGGACAGGCTCAGCAAATGGGCGGATGAGAACCTGATGGTGTTTAACACTGAAAAATGCAAGGTTCTCCACCTTGGGAGGAAAAACCTGCAGCATCCTTATAGGCTCGGCAGTGCTACACTGGCTAGCACTATGGATGAAAGAGACTTGGGTGTCATCATTGACCACAAGATAAACCTGAGCCTTCAGTGTGATGCTGCTGCTAGTTAAGCGACCAACACACTGGCTTGCATCCATAGATGCTTCTCAAGCAAATCCTGGGATGTCATTCGCCCCTTCTACTCAGCCTTGGTGAGCCTGCAGCTGGAGTACTGTGTCCTGTTTTGGGCTCCACAATTCAAAAAGGATGTGGAGAAGCTTGAGAGAGTCCAGAGAAGAGCCACGCACATGATCAGAGGTCAGGAAAACAGACCTTACGACGACAGGCTGAGAGCCATGGGGCTCTTTAGCCTGGAAAAGTGCAGGCTCAGGGGTGATCTGATGGCCACATATAAGTTTATCAGAGGTGACCACCAGTATCTGGGGGAACGATTGTTCCCCAGAGCGCCCCAAGGGATGACAAGGTCGAACGGTCATAAACTACTGCAAGACCGTTTCAGGCTGGACATAAGGAAGAATTTCTTTACTGTCCGAGCCCCCAAGGTCTGGAACAGCCTGCCATCGGAGGTGGTTCAAGCACCTACATTAAACACCTTCAAGAGCAAATTGGATGCTTATCTTGCTGGGATCCTATGACCCCAGCTGACTTCCTGCCTTTTGGATGGGTGGCTGGACTCGATGATCTTCTAAGGCCCCTTCAAGCCCTAATGTCTATACAATCTATGAAATACTAAACATTTTTTACTTTTTTTTGGTAATTTCTTCATTAGCAGCCAGAAAGAAAGAAAAACACTGAAATGTTTTGAACTATTACAAGTTTGGCTCTGATTTACGGCTTTGGCAAAAATATGGGTCACTTTTTATTTGGCTTTACTTGTCAGTTCCTACCATGGCATACAAGAAATAAATATTGTGTTCTTGGAAATATTTAATAATTTTTAACTTAAGTCTTAATGAAGTCTAAATTCCTTCTCAAGGTAATCGGCATTCTTCATGAGACTAACAGGACTGGGACTGGTAAGATGCAGCGTTGCTTCTAACCCCTACTTAACAAGAGACAGACAGATATACAATTCCTGAGAATACAAGAGACTAATTCAATCAGTTTTCTTTAGGCTCTCTCTAAATAATGCTGCAGTGTCCATTAGTATTTTCTTCAACTAGTGTCCCATTTAATCTTCCAGATGCGGCAATGGCTCTGTTTCAATGGACTCTTTATATTGTTTAGTCAAAGATGCTTTTCTGAGTTCCTTTTTTCCTCCACAGATGTTACCAAAAATGTGCTCTGTTTTTTTCTTCCTTGGTACAGTAGGCTCAGTTTGATCTCCTGAGGTTTTCCATTCCCGTGGTTGCTCCAGCAGATTGATATGGAAATTTTATTCCTTTTAAGCTGTTTTGTTTTGTTTTGTTTTTTCAATTTGCTAAGTGACAAGAGGCTTCTTAAAGATCTCCTAAGGGCTTTGCTAGTTTGCAAGGAGCATTCTCCATTCATTGGTTTGTAAGCGCTATAAACACTTTTGGCCATGCTGCAATTTTCATTTTCTGGCCAATTGGTTTCACATATGTTCTAAGACCTTTAGAATGTTAAATAATTTTTATCAGAAGTGTTATTTTAGTGCAATTCAGTGGATCCCTAGACATACCTAGTGTGACTGATAGGCAAGAAAACAAGAGTGCAGCTTTGTTTGTATTTGTCATCAGTGCAAAACTCCCTGAGCCAGCAGGAATATTTCTATTCCTGTAAACTACAGTTTCACAGACCAAACTAGCTAAGGTCTGATTAATGCATTGGGCGGTGCTTAATGACCTCACTTCCCACTGAATCCTCTCTCCTAAAAGTATTCATTCCCTGCTTATTTTTAATAATTCTAAGGCCTGATATTGCTACTGTTCCTATTGGCGTTCACTTTGTACGCAGGAGATTAAGGGCTATGTTAATGGTAAAAGTACAGGACTGAGCTAGGCAATGGTTAAGGTCCCTTCCAAGATCAAGATCATGTGATTCTTTTAGTCAGGGTCACTAAAATATCTCCATTACATTAATGATTTTCCATTTGCTGTTGCTTCCACAGCATAATTAGAATAATGTTCTAATTCTATGTTTCTGATTCCAAGCAAGCCAACATCAGCCACATTCAGCTCTTGACTGGCGCTGGTCAAGAGGCCATGATAATCCCCTGATGATGCAGAGACTCTTTCGAAGTACCTTCCCCTTTTTGCAGGCTGCAGCTGTGGTTTCCAGCCAACGGGCCATGCAAAAGTGTGTCTGCAGTGAGACAATGCAAACTATTATGCATTTTTCCCTTATGCAGTCTATGCAATTACTGCTCTACCTTCAATTAGTATCACTGAGATGATGTAAAAAGTGGCATGTATAAAACAGGGGAGTAGCTAATATCAGAATGCTGATCACCACAGGGAGTCTTGATTTAAACCATGACACTACTACTACTAAAGCTATAATGATTCCAGCAGTCTTTCCTGCCCAAGTGCAGGGGGGCTGGACCTGATGATCTTGAGAGGTCCTTTCCAGCCCCAACATCTATGAATCTATGAATAGATGTGTCCTGGAACAGCTGATATCTGCTTTATTGGGCAAAACAGATATTGCCCATTGTCCCATACGGTTGGCCCCCTGGCTCTCTCAGGGCACCTCTGCAAAAGGGGAACTGGATTTGCAGGGACACGCATGGGGATTATGACTTAGGTTGCATTTATGCCAATGGGGAAACCTGGGTGGGTGCTTTTGTGGCTCCGGGGAATCTTCTACCCGATCCTTGTAGGAGATTTCCCTGGAAATACAGACTTGAGCTGCTGAAGCTCTGGAAGTGCCTGCCCAGAGCAGCTGGAAATCTTGGGCAGCTCTGGGCTACCAATACTCTCCTGCCTTAAAACAAATAGATGTCCTCAAAAAACAAGCACAAATTTATACTGTCTTTTGTTAGGGCCAAAGTTTGGGCATGTGTGATACAACAAAGGGCATGGACATCTGTTTGCTTTTGCTTTGTGTCATAATAAACATTTTATAATGGCACAACAGTAAATGTTTGCAGCCTAACATGTACTCAGAATCCATGCAAGAAAATCTGGATCACAAACGTACATACACAATCATGTTCAAAGTTTGTAGAAAATGCTCATGGAAAATATCTGCAGTGTTTATGCAGCCTTATGCCTGAATCCTCCAAGTAACATTATATGATGTTTCAATTCCTAAACATTAATGCTTTAAAAATGGATCTATCTATTGGTAATTCATGTGAGAATGCTCTTCATCTTTCTCTTCCTTTTATCTCCTGTCTATGATCCCTTAGGTGAGGTAAAATGCTATTTATTTCCAACATGTAGCCATTCCTTTATCCAAAATGGTATGTGTGTTTCAACATTTCAATAAAATTATATATTTTAAATTTTTCTATCAGTTCCTTCTCATTATTTGTAACTACAGTCTACATGCTGCATAATTCATGTTCAAATCATTTGCTGATATGGCAAAGGGTTGCTCTTTATAGCAATTGTTTAAAAGAACAAAATGGGGGTATTTAAATGGCTAATCATACAGTTTCTCCGGGAAGATATGAGCATTTAAATTACATGCTGATAAACTGATCAGAAAGGAATGCTGGCAGCTAGATATTGTACTAAAAATACAAAACAAAAGATGCTGTCTCTGCATCTGTGGCATTTATTGAACTAATAATTGCATTTTAAACAATTTAACTTTATATTCCTTTATTAAAACAGATTATAGATAGATTTGAACTCCAAAATGCGCACTGTATGTAACACACATTTTTGGCTGAATGATAGAATGTTGATTCTTATAATCAAAATTTTATAGGATTTAGCTCAAATCTTTCCCTAGGGGAAGAAAAATATCAAATATTTTAATGAAATATTATTGTTCATTCCTTAAACACATCTCTTCTGAAATATATTGTTTTCACAAGACCTGAATACTGTCTGATTACAACTCAATAAAACCAAAAGCACAAAACAAAATGCAAAACCAGAAAAATCAGGGCACAGTCATTTTGATCCATGCATTCTTGATAACTGATGGATGTGGAGTCTAGATCTCCTAGCATTTATGTTCTTTTTACACTAGTGAACTCAGCTGGAATCAACAAGGTGAATCCTGATTATTGGTAGTCAAACTTTTCCAGGAGATATAGCTGGAGTGGAAGCCTGATCAAGTGTAGAGAATTTGAAAGCAATACACTCGACTCCAAAATCCCTTGGCAAACCAAGCCATTTCCAAATCAAGATGCTCTAGATCTTAGCCAGAAATGGCTATTTACTCAGTGTTTAAATCCCACCGAAAATCATATTTTACTTAGAAAAGGCAGAAAAATGATTTTTTTAATGTTTCATCTTCACTTTTCATGGAAAATCTTCCTGTTTTTCTACAAGTTCTATTCCTGACACGCATATATTAGCCTAATTCAAGAAAACAACCCTATTTTGGAAGGGCACTTAGGCAGATAAATATATAAAGGCTAGATTTAAATCAACTTTGTAGGTAACCTAAATTGGTAGTTAGACGTCTACACATAAAGGAGCCTGACTTTGTATTCTGGTAAGCATGATTTAGTCTAACACAAGTCATATGTCTTGACACAAAAGTAATTACGGGATTAAATTATCCAGCTGATATACAAGAGGTCAAAATAGATCCTTTCTAGTTTTAAAATCTATATGTGCAAAAGTGACTTGCTGACTGGATCTCTAGTTTGGAAGGGAAAGAACTTTGGAATGTCAGAAATATTTAAATTTAAATACTCTCATGATAATCCATTGGCTGTTTATCACGGTCACTTAAAAATCTCTATTTTTAGCATCGGGCTGTTCCCTTTCTTGTTTTGTGTAGTTCCTTAATTCTTCTTCCCGCTTGAAATGGATAGTGCACCTTTATCATTAACATGCTGTATGTGTCTCCTTACTTGACTTTTACATTATTGCTCTAGCTATTACTACGCATGCATTATTTATATGGTTGGCTATCAGGGAAAAAAGGCAAGCAATTTACTTGTCAAAACATATTAGAATGCATGACTTTAAATCAAAGTTGCATGGGTTGGTAAAAAGCTATAATAAATGCTCTTTGGCTAATATGTTAGTGTCATTCAGTGGGGATGGTCAACGTATTGACTAAGAAACCTGTAATCATTTTTAAGACTCATTCAATAGAATAATACTTCAGATGATCATAGTCCACTTTTAATTGTATAACATTAAATCTTAATTTGTGGACTCTATTTTCTAACAGGTGGAAATTTGGACCTGTTCTTTAAAGCTAACGTCAGAATAAAATAGGCATTCACACAGTACAAAAATTACATACACGAGGAGCCTAATTATCTAAAACCTGACCAGTATACACCAACAGACTTAAAAACTCATCTAACCTGCACAGGATTTTCTACCCTGCAGAGTGCATTCCTCTGAATTGCACTGAGTTCCTCTAAGAAAGACAAACCTTTCCTGCAGGATATAAATGTTATGGCTCCTGCGGCTTCAGTTCTTGTGTTGTAGGATACAAATAACTCAAACTGAAGTCAGGGCATCTGAGTTTTCTCACCATGTGGTCTTACAGAAAGTTATGGAGATACCTCTTTTATTTGAAAGGAGAATTAGATCCCTGTGGACTCTATATCAGTAATGTCTTCTGGAAATTACAGAACAGTTTTGAGTGCCTTGTTGTTCTTAATATTCCTAGAAAATCTCTTTGCCTCTTCTTCTAAGGAAGTGCCCCTTCCAATGGAAGTTTTGAGAATAACTGAATTTTTGGTTCACTGCCAATTTTTTTTTAAGAATCAGAATTTCTCTGAAAAGATTTTATAAGGCTCTTTCAGCCAAGAGAAACATGACTATCCCCAACTAGATAAGTCCAGCCAGGGCTTTGTCTTAAAACCTCCACGGATGAAAATTCTACCACCTCTCTAGGTAACCCGTTCCACTGCTTCACCACCCTCCTAGTGAGAGTTTTTCCTAATATGCAACTTAAACTTCTCTTGCTGCAACTGAAGACCATTGCTCCTTTTTCTCTCATCTCCCACCACTGAGAACAGTCCAGCTCCATCCTCTTTGGATCCCCAGGTCTCTTTGGATCTACAGGTAGTGAAAGGCTGCTATCAAATCCCCCCTCAGTCTTCTTTTCTGCAGACTAAATAAGCCAAGTTCCCTTGGCCTCTCATAAGTCATGAACCTCAGCCCCCTAATGATTTTTTTTCACCTCTGCCAGACTCTCTCCAAATTGTCCACATCCTTTCTGTAGTGGGTGGCCCAAAACTGAACACAGTACTCCAGATGTGGCCTCAGCAGTGTTGAATAGAAGGGAATAATCACTTCCCTTTATCTGCTAGCAACATACCTACCAGTGCTAGTTAGCCTTCTTGGCAACAGACTGAATATGTTGACTCATATTCAGTTTATTGTCCACTGTAACCCCCAGGTCTTTTTCTGCAGAGCTGCTGCCCAGCCAGTCAGCTGCCAGCTTGTACTGACGCATGGGATTGTTCCATCCTAAGTGCAGGACTTTGCACCTGTCCTTGTTGAACCTAATGAGATTTCTTCTGGCCCAATCCTCCAATTTGTCTAGGTATCTCTGAATCCTAACCCTACCCTCCAGTGCATCTACTTCCCCCCAGCTTGGTGTCATCTGCAAACTTGCTGAGGGTGCATGCTATGCCATCTTCAAGGTTGTTGCTGAAGATATTGAACAAAAACAGCCCCAGTACTGACCCCTGGGGCACTCCACTTGACACTGGCTGCCAAGTAGACATTGAGGCATTGATTGCTACCCTCTGAGCCCGATGCTCCAGCCAGTTGCCTATCTACCTTACATTCCATTCATACAGCCCATACTTCCTTGGCTTGCCTGTGAGGGTGTTGTGGGAGATCGTATCAAAAGCCTTGCTAAAATCAAGGTACATCAAATCCACTGACCTCTCCACATCCACAGAGCCAGTCACTTCATCACAGAAGGCAATCAGGTTGGTCAGGCATGCCTTGCCCTTGGTAAAACCATGCTGACTGTTCCTGATCACCGTCTTCTCCTCCAGGAGCTTAGAAATGGATTCCCTGAGGCTCTGCTCCATGATTTTTCCAGGGACTGAGGTGAGGCTGACTGGTCTGTAGTTCCCTAAATCCTCCTTTTTCCCTTTCTTAAATAAGAGCATTATGTTTGACCTTTACCCATCATCTGGGATCTCTCCTAATCACAATGGGTTTTCAAAGATGGCTAGTGGCTCTGCAATCACATCAGCTAACTCCCTCAGCTCTCTTAGGTACATCTCATCTGCCCCATGGACTTGTATATGTCCAGTTTTTTTATATGCTGGACTTATACATATGTCCAGTATATGTTCACCTGTTTTTTCACCACTGTTGGCTGCTCACCTTCTCCCAAAACTGTGCTGCCTGGTGCAGCAGTCTGGGAGCTGACCTTCCTGTGAAGACTGAGGTGAAAAAGGAATTGGGCACTTCAGGCTTTTCCTCATTATCTGTCACTATGTTGCTTCCCCCATTCAGGAAGGGACCAACACTTTACCTAACCTTGCTCTTGCTGACATACTTGTACAAATAGCCTTCATGTCCCTTGGTAAATGCAACTCCAGTTGTGCTTTGGCTTTCTTGATTTCATTCCTGTGTGCTTGGGCAGTGCTCTTATACTCCTCCCTAGTCATATGGCTTAGCTTCCGCTACTTGTAAGCTTCCTTTTTGTATCTAAACTCACAGAAGAGTTCTCTGCCATGCCAAGCTGGTTGCCTTCCATGTTTGCTATTCTTCCTGCACGTTGGGATGATTTGTTCCTGTGCCCTCAGTAAGGTTTCTTTAAAATACAGCAATCTCTCCTGGACCCTTTTCCCACTCAAACTGGCCTCCCAGGGGATCCTGCCCATCAGCTACTGCATGCTCAAAGGCTGCTTTTCTGAAGTCCAGGGTCCATACTTTGTTGCTCTTCTTTCTTTTGTCAGGATCCTGAACATCTCATGGTCACTGCTGCCAAGTTGCCATTCACTACTACATTCCCCACCAGGTCTTCTCTGTTTGTGAGCAGCAGGTCTAGAAAAGCACAGCCCCTAGTTAGGTCCTGGGGACTTCCTGGAGCAGCAGTGGTACTGAGCCAGCCACTGCAGAAGGATCATGGCTCTTTCTGACCAGGCTCCCTTTCTTGTGGTGCTTTTTTAAGTGGCAGTTGTTTTGTTTTTTTTACAGCAATAAGATAATTAAAGTTAGTAGTTCAACTAAGGCATGCATTGTAGTAACAACTGTCATATGTAATTCAGACCTTTATTTAATGTATTTTAGATGCATGAGAAATCATGTTTCTTTCCTCTTTTAAGCATGAGTCTATTTGAGGGCATCAGGATTGCTATGCCACTAGTTAAATGAAAGACCCTTGGTTGCCGGCTTTCTCTGTGGTGCAGCACCTATCTCAGGCAGGGTGTGATGGCTTTAAGTGAAAGATGCCTTCAATCAGGCATTTTCTTCTGCACAATTAAGCAATGCAACATCTTCAAAAGTGGGGTTTTCTCTTGAACAAGTGAAAAAAAACCTTTTTCTCTAAGCCATGAAACCATGTCATAAGAATGGGCCACTGTACTATAACTTCTGTGCCTCTGTTCTATTGGGAACCAATAGTTAGTGGATAACAGAAATACGGGTAAACTGCCTAGTCACACCCCCAAATCTCCTGTACATAACATCACACAGGAAGCACATGAGGAACTGTGCTTGTTACTGGTCATATCTACACATGAATTAATGCACCCTAGTTAGTGTGAATTAAGTTTAGTACTTGGCTAACCAAGTACTAATTCAATGCATAGTAACTTGCACTGCTGTGCAATAGTACCAGTGCACTTTCTTTTTTTTAAATGCTTACTGCACAGTATCTTAATAACACTGCACAGTAGCATACCGGCCAAAAACCATGGTAATATGCTACTGCACAGGGTTATTAGGCTACTGTGCAGTAAGCATAAAAAAGTGCACTGGCATAGTGCACAGTAGTATTAGGCTACTTCACAGTAAGTATCACTAAAAACCTGTGCACTGGTGCTACTGAGAAGTAGCATGAGTTACTGCACATTGATTTAGTAGTTGGTTATCCAAGTACTAAACTGAATGCACAGTAACTACAGCATATTAATGAATGTGTAGACGCACTCACTGACAATGTAATGCAAACTGTTAAAACTGAGATTTATTAACTTTTGCAACAACCTACCTAGGGATTTAGTAGACTTTTCTTCAGCTGAAAGGTACCCTTCCTTGGTATTTGTAGTAATAGAATTAGTCATTGCAATAGCAGCACCATAGGACCATATCCAAAAAGTGAGTATAATCAGACACTTTTATTCCAAATGAGTAAATCACCAAAAGCTGAGCTAGTTACATAGACATCTGAGAGTCTTGAGAGGCCTCTGTTTTCACCACACAGATAACTTGGCAATGTAAAGTTGTGCTACAGCATCGGACCAGAGACACGGCTATCTTGGCTGAGCTGAGCATCCCGGTCCCTATCATGCCTATGTCTATTTGAGATTCACTAGTTGGACATCTCTATACCTAAATCCCTCAAGTGTCCAGGCTCAGAAAGGCATGCTCAGCACACAGCTGACATACACCATTGATTTCTTTACAAAACCCAAGAGCAACAGGTGCTACTCACATTTTAGATAAAAACACTAGTGATCAGGGTATTTGCCCAGGGAAAACTAGTTTCTGGGTCTGCTTCAGACTGATTCACTTAATGACCACCTCCCAAGTCTGCCAAAAAGGCAAGATTTCATATGTGCCAATAGGAAATGATGAAGAAAAGGGTGTATCCCTCTGCTATTGTTTTCATAGTGTAGCAAAACACTCAGTTTTTCTTTTCTTTTTTTTTAAATACATTCCCTCCCTCCCCCAACTATTTCTGACTTTTTCTCTCCCTCTCTATTCCCTATAGATAAGTATGAGCAAGTTAAGACAGGATAAACTTTAGCATTTTTGTAGCAAGTTTTTTTCCCTTCTCTCTACTTCTTGGATCCACTGTTTTATATTGTATAATTATTATGTTTATATTGATTTTTACTTTGTGATTACGGTTTTACTGATTTTTGATTTTTTTTTATATTGATACTATATGATTTAGGCCTACATGTGTAAGTTAGCATAAGTAATGTCAAGTTTCCATTTTGTATGTCAAGCCTCCATCTTGTGTCCTCTGCCTGGGTGTAACCTATAACTCATGTCTAACCAGTCTCATGTAAATTGGTTCCCCTGAATGAAAAGGGATGAATGAGGGTACTTGAGATACAATGGTAGCAGGCCTCTACTGAATAATCAACTCAACAACTGGATCATCAGCTCAATGACCAGACTATTGCCCTGCATTGACTCACCCAGGAACCACGGACCTCACCCAGGAGCAGAACAGAAACCCAGCATTTGAAAGACAAAGACCCTACAGAAACCAGCAACCCCACCATTGTGTCCTACCAGACAATGAGGACACCTGGATCTGCATGTAGGCATCTAAGCAGGACTGTCCTTTCCTGGACATGTCCCTCCTATAGGAGACACAGGTAGCCCACCCCTATAAAAGGGGTGGTAGAGTGTGACCTCCTTGGGACACCCTCTCCATCTGCACCAGCACTACGCCACACCACCTATCCACCCAGAGGCCCTGCCGGCAACACCCTCTGGACAACACCTTGCTCGAGAAGACCTCGACTGGCCATCGAGGATCAACTCACAGCCTAGGATGGGTAGCTATCACCCACCTCCCTTCCCCAAGCACATGATCTGGACTCTGTCTCTACACACTTCAACTTCGATCTCTCCACCAAGCCTTTTTCTCTCCTGCTACCATTGTGTGTGTGTGTGTGTGTGTGTGTGTGTGTGTGTGTGTGTGTGTGTGTGTGTGTGTGTGTGTGTGTGTGTGTGTGTGTGTGTGTGTGTGTGTGTGTGTGTGTGTGTGTGTGTGTGTGTGTGTGTGTGTGTAGGAACCAATAACTTCATGAGCTGTATAGTATACTGCCTGTTTAATAAAACTGATATTCTTGAGCCCAAATTGGTCGCTGTCCTGCTGCAGGCTCCCAGCTAAATCCCTGTGTGTCTGACCTCCCTCTGGGCCTCATTCCTCTATCTCCCCCAGCTCTGGCTTTCTTTCCCTCTCCACTTACCTCCCGGCCCTACTCTTTGGTTTCCTAGCTCTAGCCCTCTGGCCTCCGCCTTTGCCTTCCCCCTCATCTCTCTCTCTCTCTGTTCCTGCTTGTGTCTCTCTCTCTGCCTCTGCCTTCTCCCCAATCCCTGTCTCTCTTTTCCCAATCTTTCCCACCTCCCCCTCCATTCTCTGGCTTGCCCTGGCTTCCCAGGCCCCAGCTCCACCCAGGGCCTCTTCCCCGAAGCTTCTCCAGCTCCCCCACACCATCTCCAGCTTCCCTCACAAACCTCTCGGTTCCCCCTGCAACCTCTACAGCTCCCCCGCAGCCCCTCCAGTTCCCCACAGTCCCAGTTTCCAACTCTCAACGTACCTTTTGGTTCCTCCACAGCTCCGGCTGTGGTCCCAGCCTCTGTGTCGGCTTCTCCTTGGCATTGCCCTTCTGCTCTGCCAGCTTTGGGCATTTTCCTTTAATCAATTAACACCAATTAACCTCAAGTAACCCTGGCTCCCCTCCAGTCTTCTGGTTCTAATCCTGGCCCCAGCAACTTTTACTCCTGGCACTTCTATGCTCTTATTTTTCCCTTTCCCATCTTAACCTCTATCCATCTCCCTCCTTCCACTCCTTCTGGAAATCTTTGACCCTTGACTTCCTCTCCCATAGTCACCAAGAACCCTAGGTATCCCAAGTACCCTAAGCACACACATACAGACCACACCACCCAAGTTAGGAACTCACCTGTGTGTATGTGTAGCTGTATGGTGAGTGTGAACTGGCGAAAAAAAAGTATATATATTATCTCATTGTATGTGTGATATACAAATTAGTGATCCATGTATGTGTATTGAGTGTGTGGGTATTGACAACTAATTTTTGTCTAATTTTTGGTGTGTATATTGTGTATGTGCTTGAATTAGTGATAGGTGTGCATGTGCTTAGACTGGTAGTCTTGCATGTGTGTGTGCCTAGTGTGTGTACGTTCATGTATGTATATATGCATCTAATTGATCTGTGTGTTTGTAAATGTGCAGTTGTGTCACCCTCCCATCTAACAGCATAATTTTGAGATTGCCTGGTTAAATGATTCCTTTTTTCATCTTCTTATAAATGATTGCATAGGAAGTCAGGGAACATTTTTGTCTAAGGGAAACATCCCATGTGTAAAGGTCATTTTCTTAGAATATAGACAGAATTAGATGAGGAAGCAATTGGCAAGGTACTGCAAAGCTATACAAAAAAAATATAATTATACTTTTCCAAGGTTGCTCAAAATAAAGATATAAGTTGTTGAAGCTAAGTTACTAGCTTTGTTTCATATAGGGACAGAGCATGAAAATACTAGGTTAGCTTTTTAAATAGAATATATCAAGATGGTACTTGATACATTGAAATAGTATTTGAAAGGGGAAAAATGATTTCAGACAAAAGAGAAAATTGCAAGGTTTAGCAGGGTTTTATTGTAAAGAGATTGATGGACATTTGTGGGCATATGTAAATAGGTTTAGTCAGTGCTTCAGTGAAAACAACATTGGAGATAAGAAAAATGCCATCTTTCTACTGTTGTGTGGTGCAAGACACATGAAATCTGGTTGGATTTTATGTCTGCTAGTAAACCTGATAAAGGCAAAAAATATTCCAAACAGACAATAAGTAAATGCCAACCATTTACTGTAAACGGATTATTATTCTTTAAAAGGGTTATTTTTTTAGCTTGAGGGAAAACAGCACTGTGTATAGAATGAAGAGTTTATTTTAAATAAGAATAGAAGAGCTGTCTGGACCTATATGGCTACTAGACAGATAGCTAATAAATCCAGTTGGTCACAGAAACAGGAATGACCTAATCCAAAATCTATTGGAGTGTACTAAATTTGTCTATTACCCTCCATTGTCTATTGATTATGAAATATATATTACAGTGGGGTTTGGACTGAGCTGGAGTCAGAAACTCAGCATAGTATATCTTTAATAATTTTAATGAAGTTAAAAACAAACAAAATCTAAGTCAGCCTCTTGTCCAGGACAGAGAATTCTAGCAGATAAAACATTAATTTAAAACCTAGAACACATATGGAGTTACCGATGGACATGGAAGACCAGCAGTTGTCAAGTTTGGTTGGATGCTTATCCAATTTACTACACTAAGGCTAGGTACAGACATTAAAAAAGCTTGAGGCTAAATCGATTCAGTCTTTGCAGGTTTGTCTAAACTGCACAGATTAAATTGAAACTGAAGTGAACAGACATTTACCTTTGACTCAGGAAATGCAGCCTCCTGCCTGCAGTGGCTCAGGCCAGAAGCTGAGGGGCAAAAATGCTGGGATGCTGGAGGACTCTGATTTAACTTAAATTAGGAAGGAGTCTAGGACAGAAGTTCTATAAACTGGTTTGACCCAAATCAGTTAAGTCTGATACTACATTCAATCAGGTTTATCTTATGTAGTAGCACTAAAACTGGACCCATCTGAAGGAATAGGAAGGGCTGCCCTGCAGAGGGACAGAGTGTGAAGAGACAGATTTTGTACCAGTAGGGACACCATTTGCCCTGAGGGCAAGTGAAGCTGTTTTGGAAGCAGTCCTCTTGGAAGTGGGAGGAGTGATGTCAACAGGGTTTGAATGAGAGCTGTTAGTAAAAGCCCGGGAAAAGCCCTGGCCTGGGATTGGCTGAGAGGCTTGGTTAAAAGAGGGGAGCAGTTTCCACAGGGGGAGAACAAAGGGGGGGTGAGAAACAGGCTGGAGACCAGGGAAAGGATCGCCCCATGGCTGTCCCTCTGAAAGCCCCTGGCAGAGTGCTGCAGAAGTAGCAGCAGAGGCTGCTACAGTGTGTCCATTCTCCTTCCCTTCCCCTCCAAGCACCCTGCCCGGCAAGACAAGAGAGGAGCTGCCTGTGAGGAGACTCCGAGCCTGGGAAGACCCTTCTGCAAGGCCCTGTGTGGCTGGGTGAGGGGAGGGGGTGCAGGACCAGGGGATACTGCTGGCAACTGCCCTGGTTTTCCCCTGTGAGTGAGAAGACCCCGGGGAGGGGCAGGCTCAGGGTGCTGGGGAAGCCCTGGGCTAGAGGGCAGGGACTGCTCCAGCCACCAGAAGCTGAGGGGCAGGCAGGGCCCAGGGAGGGGCTGCATTTGCTGGGTGCTGTGAGGCTGTGCTGGGCAGGGGAAACTGCTACAACCTGCAGTCCAGACACTGCTCTCTGCTGTGCCAGGAAAGGGGTCTGGGCAGGAATCGGCTGTCTTGCAGGGACTGCAGTGGAGGAACCACCACCTGGTACACAGGGACCCCTGGAACTTGTATGAGAGATGTCAGCACCAGGGACCCACCCACAGATCCTGTGCAGGGGCACAGACACAGTCCTCTCTGAGACACCCAACCAGGGGCAGTGCACACAGGGTCCTCAGTACACATCATACTATTCTTTTCCATTCATGAAAACCAATGTTTTTATAGAAGAGCACCATCTCATAATTTTTGTAGAATATATCTCTTTGCAACAGAAATAAAGGAGAATGACCACAGCACTGAGATAAGCTGAGGAGAGGAAAGAGGAAAGATAGTAGGTTTGAGGTAGCTACAGGAGAGCATTGGGCCACTCTAGTCAAGTCCGCTGTCTTAGTAATGGCCATTTACAACTTCCAATGCCTTGCTCTAGAGGGATTCTACCCAAAATGGCTAAATTGTATACAATTTTTCATGGAATTTTACAGTCTGGTCCAGAATAATTTACTTCAACATGTATTTTACATTTCTACTGTATTAGCTTTCCTTACTTTATTTCATGAGACTTGGTATCAGAATGAGAACTTTAGTCTTACTTTTTGGTAGTATGTAGTTTATTACATTTAGTCCATTTTCCTAAATGCTACTGGCACTTTACTTTCAGCTACTTTCACTGCTTTAAATGGCCATGTAACTGTGGCTTCTTAGTT